AGATTTTACTTCACCACCAAAAGATTTGACCTTTTGGCGCAAAGGAATGAAAACTAATCCTCATTTCGAGATACATGAATCAGAGATTGTATGAAGCATAATTTATTTATTTTCAAAAAGCTGACCATCAAGAATATCTCTTCAACTTCAATCTTCACAGGTAACTTTATGATCTCCTTTATATAGATATATTTCTCCTTTTTTTTTGCAGGTAGAAGAAGAAATCAATTCCAAAGATACTATTTCAGTAAAGATAACCTCACAGTCGAAGAATCCTTTTTACATTTCAACTTGAAGACATGGCAGACTTGAAGATTTCTACTTGAAGACTTGACAGATTAGAAGACTTCGACTTGAACACTTAGTGGATTTGAAGACTTTAACTTGATGATTCAACTTGAAGGTTAAAGTATAAGAGTTAAACTTGAAGATGCAGCCACTTTGAAGAATTCAACTTGAAGACGTGGCATATTAGGATAGTTGAAGACTTAGTGAACTAGAAGAATTTATCTCAACTTCAACTTGAAGATTTAGCATGCAAACTTCAAATCAATGATATAGAAAATATGAAGAATTCAACTTGGCGATTTGGCAAACTTGAAGAATTCAGCTAAAAGACATGAGGGTCTTGAAAACTTTGCAGCATGCTAAAGACTATAATTGTCTTGAAGATACCAATCTCGGTGAAGAGGATCAAGTTATTCTGCAGTTTATAACGAGTGAGCTTCTTTTGTTTTTAACACTGTATGGATTTAATAACTTGACACACTTGAATACTGCAACTTTAAGACCTAGCATGCTTGAATACTTCAAATCGATGATGTAATAGACTTGACAAAATCAACTTGACTTAGAATTGGAGCTTTCAACTTGAATATTTAGCCTCTTATTAAAGAAACTACAATCACTCCATCAAGGACCTCAATTTGACATAGAGAACTTGCTCCCGCTGAGCCATCAAGATAAGACAGAGAGTTCAATGAAAGAATACATATACACCCAATTTTCAAGTGTCAATCAAGTGAATCATATTCCATCATACCTCATTTGAAGAATGACTTGGGTAATATGTACTTTTTGAACTCATATGACTGAACTTAGAATGAAACTCTAAGCTGCCTACGTACCTCGGTAAAGAGAATCAAGTCATTCCGTAGTTCGAAATGGGTGAGTTTTCTTTTTCTTTTCTTTTTTTGCATCCTAACTCTTGCCTAGGCCGCCTCTTTCGAGGTTTTCAACCTAGCGAACTTTTTTTTTATGTCCTAACGTTTGTCTAAGCCGCCTCTTTCGAGGTTTTAAATCTAGCGAACTTTTTTTTTGTTGGACCGTGCAAAGTTTATACTCTTGCGGGCCAGGAGTAACATGCAGTTTATGCTCGTGCTCAAGGAGCATATTTGTTTTCTTCAAGGATAGTATCCCTTCATGAATTTCCATTTATGGGGCCAATCCGCAAACTGTAAGGCCCCGAAAAATGTTTCCAAGTAGTGTGAGATTTCGTCGTGCCAAGGTAGGCTAATTATTTTATTTTGTGTGCAAATGAGGATTCATGATATAATGGGTATCAATTAGATGTGTTAATAAGCATATAAGTCATGTTAGAGGTGAATTGGGGTCTAAGGAGAGGCCTAAGTCTAAGCCAAGTTGGAAAATTTCATATTAGACGAAATTTGTAAATGAGTGCGCACAAGACCTCACTTTGAAAGATCATATCTCCAGTTATATAAGTAGTTGTGTGATTCATAACCTATCAAATTAAATCTCTTTGAGTCTAGTTTCCAACGCAATAAACCGTTCGTCATTTGGAGGTGTATACAGAAAGTTATGATCATTTTACTGGGCATGTGTCACTAGCGCGCCCAAATGCGCGCCCGCGCTAAAATGTGCGCGCCCAAGACAGAACACTGGGAAAATTAGCGCGCCCAGGTGCGCGACCGCGCTGGTAGAGGGCCTCTAAATACCCCAAGACCGGGTCTAGAGAGTTCCCAAGTCATTTTGGGGTAAGGGCTCTCTCTCTCAAGGGGATTTCGTCCCAAACTTCATTCCTATGATCCAAGGTAAGGTTTTTTGGAGTACTTTGAGTGATTTCTACCCCTAAACACTTATACTAACAAGGATTAATCTTCAAAATCTTTAGATTTTCCTTCAAATCCTTGAATTCATCAAGAACACCACAAGTGGGGATTCTTAAAAATTCTTACTACAAAAGGTATGTTTATCATCTCTAACTACTCTATGGTGATTATTCATGTATGGTATATACATTAGAACTCATGGGATGGTGATTGGGAGCCATAGGTGCCTAACCTAGGTTGTGTTGGTATTGTAGAGATTGTGAGATGGGTCATTGAGGTATGATTCTTGGTATAATAGTATTATGTGTGCATGCATGTGCAAATAGGGTTGTGAGAAGATTGATGAACATAAATAGGTAAAGATTGGGTTGGGAAATTAAGAAAATCTTGTAAAAGAGAGTTAAAAATGAAGATGCTCAACTAGTGTTTGATAAAAAGCTCCAATGAGCTGAAACCATGAATACCTTCCTAATCTGTGTTAATTTTGTTATGTCTCAAGTAGATTGGGATTGCTAGAATTTCCGAAACGTCGTAGTAACTTAAGGAAAGCTTAAACGAGGTATGTATGGCTAAACCTCCGTCTTTTAGAAATCAAGCTTCATCGATGTTGTGTGAATATGGTAAGATTAAAGTTGAATTGTTGAGTCGATTATTATTTTCCATGAATTGGTGTTGTACCTCATAGGTGTGAAATATGTGTCTCAACATGATTAACGTGTTATCTTGTTAACTTGAAAGGGGCAAAAGATATGAATTATGTATTGGAATGCTAAAACCTTAAATTTAAATTGGAGTTGCATATATTATGTCAAACTATGTGAAATCCTATGTGTATAGAGATGTTGAAATAAGTCAAATGAGTTTGGAAAATAGAGTGTGGCCAATGTGCCGAGAACTTTAACTGAAATTGTATATTGTCATGAATGGAAAACAAGGATTCAAGAATAATTGGTGTAGTTGCTTTCTTGTTCCTTGATCTGTTTTATTATGGGTTGGTGTATCCCCTCTATTGATTGGGAAGAATCCCTTATGTTTGATGATTCTATTTCTATTGAATTTGAAAATATGTGATCCATGGAGTATTTGTTACATTGATATTGATTGGTGAACCTTGGAAATAAAGTGATGAAAATGTGAAAAACCGAATACGGCCGCCGTGCCAGGAATAAAGAATTTTGTGAATGGCCAAATGAGCCAAGGAAATACTGTTGTTGTTGGTGACCAAAAATACTAATTGAAATCTATAAAATGTGAAGGATATTGAGGTAAGCGTGGTTGCATTCATGCTATATTTGTATACTTGTGTTCATATCACAACTGCGTGCAATATTAAATTGAACCAAATTTTTTTTTGGGGAGGTATCATTAGTAACACCGAGGAAGGGTGTGTCATAAGGCTCACTCCTGAAACTACATGTGCTGGTGTAGGGATGTATCATGGCTATTCCCCTTAATTGAGATGAACCTGGTAACATTTCTGAATTTGTAACGCCAACCCACACGGCATAAGTGGGAAGGCATCTTAGCCGATCGGGTCGTGATCGGACGCCATGCTGCACACATGGTGGTATTGTGCTGAAAATCAAAAACTGGGGATTCAAAATCTGGAAATTCAAAAACTGGAATTCTCGATTGTGGTACATGTCACTAAAGGGACGACCTAGCCGATCGGGTCGTGATCAGACTCCGTGTTAACATAGACGGTGGTATAACTCATATCGGTGCTAATGATATCCCAACCAAAAAAACTATATATTTATATTATTTTTCGTAAACTAAAGGATTTACAGGTTTAAAATTTGTTGCTAGTATAATGTTGATCTTGACTTACTGTTTTGTGGAAATTGTATGATTCTTTAATTTGATGAGGTGGTGATTGTTAAAGCTTTTGAACTAAGTTTATGATTCCTATATTATTGTTGATAGTTCTTTCTAATTATATGGTGATTAGTTATATATACTAGTGCTATTCATTGGCACTAACGTCCCTTTTGCCGGGGACGCTGTATCGTTTTATGATACAGGTAGTTCCACAGCGAGCAGCATCGGCCAGTGATAGCAGTACTCTCTTCCCAGCGGTCTTGGTGAGCCCCACTCCATCCCGGGGTCATGTTATGTATTTTTTTTCATTTTCTCATTACATTTTGGGGTATAGTCGGAGCCTTGTTGCCGACATTTCTATATTACTCTTCTCTTGTATTTAGAGGCTCCGCAGACTATTGTGGGTGGTGGTTGATGTTGGGAGTCCGGGCTAGAACTGTTGGTACTTGATAAACATGTTTTTCGTTAAACTTGTAAAATTTTTGAAAACTAAATGAAGTAATTAGCGGGAATGAAATGAATGTTGCTAACGGCAGATTTCTTAGTGTTTGATCAAATGGGATAATATCCCCTCTTTATTTATGGACTAGTTTGGGTAGAAGGTAATCTAGGAGGCTTGCTCGGCCGGGTTTACTCGGTTGAGCGTCGGTCACGTCCTACAGTTTTTGGGGCGTGACACAAACCTTCCGAGTCAACTATTTTGTAAGTGCCACTTGAGTATACCTCTTGTACGATATATGGTCCATCCCACTTAGCAGAGAATTTGCCCCCAGATCAACGAGAGGTAATAATAGGCATTTTGACCACAAGAACTTGGTCGCCCACTTGGACAGATCTAAGGCATACCCTTTTGTTAAAAGATCAAGACAGGTGAGCTTGATAACATTCAAGGCTTTGTTGAGCTTCTAGCCTTTTTTCATCAAGAGCTTCTAATTCTTCAATGCGCAACCGGGCATTTTCTTCATCTGTGAGTCCTTCTTGAATGGCAAGACGTAACGATGGGATCTGACGCTCAAGTGGAAGGACTACTTCAACTGCATAAACAAGCGAATAAGGGGTCGCTTGCGTTGGTGTGCGATATGTGGTCATATATGCCCAAAGAGCTTCTTATATCCTTTCATGCCAATCTCTCTTAGACTTAGAGACAGCCTTTTTCAACAAGTTGCAGAGCATCTTGTTAAATGCTTCAGCAAGTCCATTGGCAGCAGCATAATACATGGAGGAATTGCATTGCTTGAAGCCAAAAAGATCACATATTTTATTCATCAACTTGTTATCAAATGGCTTACCATTGTCTGTCAATATATATCGAGGAATGCCAAAGCGATAGATAATATTAACTCGGATGAAGTTAGCCACATTTTCCTTCTTTACTTCCTTAAGAGAAACAGCTTCAGCCCACTTCGAGAAGTAATCAGTTGCGGCCAAAATATATAAATGTCCACCAGAAGACTTTGGCAATGGACCAACAACATCTAAACCCCAAGCATCAAATGGCCAAGAAGCAACAGTTGGGTGTAATACTTCCAGTGGTTGATGTATGAAGTTAGCATGGAATTGGCAAGCTTTACACCTCCGAGCATAATCCAAACAATCTTTCACCATGGTTGGCCAATAATACCCCATTATTTTTATGTGAAAATGAAGTTTTGGCCCAGATTTATGCTCACCACATACTCCAGAGTGTGCCTCTTGCAATGCTTGAAGGGATTCATCAGTCCCCAAACAACGTAGGAGCACTCCATCAAATGATCGCCTGTAGAGCGTATTCTTGTAATAAAGAAAACGAGGGGCTCTCATTCGGATTTCCGTTTTTCTTCGGGGATTTTCTGTAAATATACCGTAATAGAGATAATCTATTAGTGGTTGTCTCCAGTCTTTAATTTCAACCTTAAGAACAGAATATTCTCAGCTTCGCTTTCTTCTTCCTCATAGTCATTTGGTGGAGGAACTACCCATCCTTGGCAAACAACGACTTGTGTCTGACCAGGCAAAGATAATGTAGAAGCTAAGGCTGCTAATGCATCAGCTCTCTTATTTTTCTTTCTCGGCACGTGTTGAAAAGTTACCTCTCCAAGCCAACTTACCAATCTTTGAGCATATTTGTGATATAGCACCAATTCTGGCTTCTTAACCTCATAGCTACCCAAAATCTGATTGATCACTAATTTGGAGTCTCCAAATACTTGTAATTGCAATTGTTTGATATCCACAGCCATTTCAAGCCCAAGTATGAGCGCTTGATATTCAGCAACATTATTGGAGCACCGTTGTGTCAAAGTGAAAGAATATGGCAAAACTTCTCCTTGAGAAGTGATAAACACTATTCCAGCGCCAGCTCCTTCACGATGTGCAATGCCATCAAAATACATTTTCCAAGTAGGCTGAATTTCTATGACCATTGTATCTTCATCAGGAAATATATCAAAAAAATCTCCCAATCATCTGGAATTGGATGGTCAGCCAGGAAGTCTGCTAATGCCTGTCCTTTTACTTTCTTTTGAGGAACATACACAATTTCAAATTGTTGAAACTGGAGGTACCGCCTCGCTAATCGATCACTTAGGACTGGTTTAGACATGACAAATTTGACATGGTTCGCTCTTGAGACGAGTCGCACAACGTGAGCTTGGAAGTAATGCTTCAGCTTTTGAATAGAGAAGACAAGTGGCAAACATAACTTCTCAATAGGCGAATACTTGAGCTCATTTGGCGTCATCATCCTACTCAAGTAATAAAGCGTATTTTCTTTGCCTTTATTGTTTCCTTGAGCGAGAAGCGCTCCTACTAACCTTTCATGTGCTGAAATATATAATAATAATGGCTTTCCAGGTATGGGGGCTGCCAGTACTGGAGGTTTCATTAGATAAGACTTAATGCTTTCAAAAGCATTTCTGCAAGCTTGGTCCCATTCAGAAGGAATCCCTTTCTTCATGAGGCGACTAAATGGTTGGCATCTTCCAGCTAGATTTGAAATAAATCTTCTAAGATATGCCAACTTACCTTGCAAGCTTTTTAATTCATGAATATCTTTAGGCTCGGCATTTTCAAGATAGCGTCCACCTTAGCTTGATCAATCTCGATACCTCGATGTCGAACAATAAAACCGAGGAACTTCCCAGAAGTAACTCCAAAAGCGCACTTCAAAGGGTTCATTCTGAGTTGGTATCTCTGAAGGCGTTCAAATACCATCCTCAAATCTTGCAAGTGATGATACTTCTTCCTTGACTTTACCACCAAGTCGTCAACATAACACTCCACATTTTTATGAAGCATGTCATCAAAAATATTTTGCATGGCACGTTGATATGTAGCACCAGCATTCTTCAAACCGAAAGGCATTACCTTGTAGCAGTATATACCTTTAGGGGTGCGAAAGGCAGTAAGTTCTTCGTCCTTCGGTGCCATGCGAATTTTATTATATCTAGAGGAACCATCCATGAAAGACATCGCCTCGTATCCAGTTGTTGCATCAATCATGAGCTCAGGGATAGGAAGAGGAAATTCATCCTTAGGACAAGCGTTATTTAGGTCCCTAAAGTCAACACAAACTTGGATTTGGCCATTCTTCTTTCTTACAGGGACGATGGTTGAAATCCATGTAGGATATTTAACTTCACGAACAAAACCATCCTCAATAAGCTTGTTAACTTCGGTTTCAATCAAGGGAACCAGATCAGGTCTGAAGTGACGTTGTGCTTGCTTTACAGGACGAGCACCTCGTTTGACAGCAAGATGATGAACAACAACCTTGGGGTCTAAACCTGGCATTTCCTTGTAGCTCCAAGCAAATACGTCTTTGAACTCCTTAAGTAGCTCAATATATTTGCTCTCTTCATCAACAGTTAGAGAGGCACTTATATATGTGGGCTTTGGATCTTCAACTACTCCGAGATTGACTTCTTTTAGTGCATCAACCGTTGTCTTCACCCCTTCTTCAAGCTCTAGTGGTGCATCTTTAGCGTCTTCATCCTCTTGAGGATCACCATCATTGAAAGATATGTGATGACATACATGATTATCAAGGCACTTTCCCTCAATTTCCGTATAGGGTGAAGCATTTTATTCATCACGAAGGGTGATATGATATGATGCCCCCATACTTTCTTTATCTTCCTCTCATTCCTTGGGGTGGACTATGGTATGAACCTTTGCTTTAAGGACCTCTCCACACGAAAATACAAGTTTTGTCTCTCGCCTCATTCTAGAAGGAATCAGACGTGGGTAGTCTATGGTCAAAATCTCCTTTTTAAGGGAGTTAGGTGCTCCAATCCTTCTATTACTTCCATGGCACTTGTTTTCCTTCTTCAGCGGTCCCAACCTGTCAAAGACTGAGGTCCTTGGTTTCGTAAGTAGGTCAAACACAGAAGGCTTGTTATTAAGCATCGTAGACACTTCTTTAGCAGTAATGTAGTTACAACTTGCCCTTTTAATGGAGATATAGATTAGCGGGGGTTGTTTGTAACCCAATCCTTCACGTGATTGCTTCAGTGGGTACCCTTTCTCCATCATCATCTTTTGAGTAGTGTTTGAAGCTTCAGACGGGAGCTTTCCCAACTTGGATGGTTTTTTGGGATCATATCCATCTTTTGCCAACAACTTGTAGGCGTTTGGGTCAAAACCCTCATTTGTGCACTTTGTAGGAAGTGCTAGATTTGGAAGCGAATTGTGGCTTGATGATTTGACAAACCCTTTAAGCAATTTTGTACACGACTTAACTGCGTCAATTCGCTTGATAGGAAGGGTCAAGTCTCCTAACACCTTACCTTGTAGCTCAGAAGATGGATCTTGGACCTTCCTTGCCTTTGGGACATAACGGAGAACATGAGTCACTTTCTTAATTGAAGATGCCTCATTCATCTTGTTCCTATCATGAAGCACCTGATCTTTTTCAACTGTAATATTTTGCTTGCTAGTTGTTGCATCAACCTTCTTTGCAACACTTTTGGTCAATATTACATCATCAACCTTAACCTCCTTTGAGACGTAATTCTTCAAGTAGAATTTTGCATCAACAAAGTATGATTCAGCCTCGGTAAAAGGCTTATCATCAGCAACTATCCACCTTCATAGTATTTCAAGCACTGATGGTAGGTGGATGAAACCACTTTGTTCTCGTGTATCCATGGCCTTCCTAACAAGATATTATATGAGGTCTTTGCATCAATCACGTGCATCCATGCACTCGAATGCAAATCTCCCATATTTATTTCCAATTTGATAGCCCATATAGCTCTTTGCCCCCCTTGATTGAACCCTTGAATCATCAAACGAATTTCACATAGTTCATCCATAGGTATGCCAAGCTCTTTGACAGTACGAATTGGGAGAATATTGACACCAGACCCATCATCGATCAAGATTCTACTTATTCTCTTTTCTCGCACAAAGCCAACCATAAATAGGGGGCGATTATGGTATGTTTCACCAAGTAAAAGATCATCATCAGTAAATGTGATTTTTGCATCACAAATGTCCACTTCTTCAGAATTCCTAGTGAGTTTTTCAGGCAAGGAGGCGGCAACAAAGATGGATCCTCTTTATTTGTCTCTTCTTTATCTATCTTACAACATGAGGCCTTGATATATTCACAGGAAGCTTGCGGGTGTAACCAGCTTCGCAGGAATTCCTCGAATGTCACTGGAAGACGTAGCCTTTGGTAGTGATTCTCCGCTATTTTTGTTTTCTTCCAGTTCTTCTTTATCATTTTCTTCTTGGGTCTTTTCACCATTTTTACCCAAGTCAACTGCTTATTTGACTCCCTTTGTGAATTTGTCTTGCAGTGTCTCCGCTGAGTCACAAGAATCTAACCTTCATCATCAGTTTGATCATCACGTGATTCACTTTTCTCTTGAGATCTTTCCTCCACTATTGGTTTATACGCCATAGGGGGAAGCAATGGTTTGCTCACATCGATAGGTTCAAAGTCACCAAATTTAATCATATTTAGTGATGATGCAATTTGGATGTCATCACATTCATGTACTTCGACAAAATTGCAAAGGACAATGGGATCAAGTGAACCAAAAGCGAAAGAGACTTGATTCAAACTGTCTTTCTCACCCTCAAGCAAGATTTTTCCTTCAGCGGCCAAGTCCATGACTTTCTCCTTGAAGACAAAGCACTTTTCAATAGGGTGGCCAATTAACCGATGGTACTTGCAATAATTTGGATCATTAGTCTTTCCAGCTTCATCTGGCCGCTTCATTTCGAGTAACTCAATGAGTTTCAACTCAAGGAGTTCTTCAAAAATTTCTGGGACATCAGAGTCCAAGAATGGATATTCTTTCGCTTGCATTTCCTTCAGAGTTAACTTTCGGCCAACTTTATCCTGTAAGGATGTTGTCTTCACACTTTGCTTCTTACTCACTTTTGTAGTAACCTTTAATGGTGAGGCATTAACATTCATTGATTCCTTGCTCTCAGACTTCGAAAAAAACTTGCCTCCTTTGTTTATTTCTTGTTTATCCTTCACTTTGCGAGGTTCATAAACATGTGACCCTTGATTTCCACTTGAAGACATACTTAGCTCCATATCATGAGTATGTGTAGCCAATTCTTCAAAAGACTTAGGCTTGATACCCTGCAGGATGTAGTAAAGTCCCTAATGCATCCCTTGGATACACATTTCTATTCCAGAAGCTTCATTAAGTCTGTATTTACAATTGAGGTTCACATTCCTCCATCGATTGATGAAATCTACAACTGGTTCGTCCTTCCATGAAGTTGTTTCTTTGAAGAGAAACCATATATTTTAGAATGAATTGAATTCCAACGGAAAAAGTTTACTTAGTCCTAATCCAAAATTATATTTATACCCATTATTAAAGTACTGTATAAAGGAAATATTAACTTTAAAGGGCAAAAAGGTCGATCAACTTTTCGAGAATATTTTTGTCTCTTAACATTTAGCTTGCTAATATTTGTGGTTTTATAATAATAATATAATATATATAAATATAGATAAGTTGTAGCTTATATTTATATTTATATTATATTTATATTTTAAACAACCCTAAAAGTGGTTATTGGTGCATTTAATCCACAAAATATTTACACGGCAGGTCCCCCAACGGGACTGTTCTTGGTGGAATATCCCTGTTAGCAAAATGTCTCTGTTTTTTACTTGAACTCCATAGTCTTTAATATTTTAAAGCTGGAAATTTTTATTTAGTGGTGGAAAGTAGAAAGTTAACGATCCATCATTGTTAAAATCGTTTGAATGTTAATATTTTATGCTTAAACTTTAAGTTCAAACACAAATTTGGTAATTTGCCATAAAAAACTTAAAATTCCATTATTGGACCTTAAAAAGTGTTGAAGAAGATAAAGTTGGTCTTTTTATTTTGGTGTTATTTGCCTAAATTGATAATTGAGGAGCAAATTTAGGATGATTTGATCAAAATTGATGTTGAAAATTCGAAGAACACTTTATAGACTTCGATGAAAAGTTTAACAAATAGATGAATAAATATAAAATAAACTCTAACAATCCCATGAAGAAATTCATGAAGAGAAATAATTGATTGGTCCAGGCGTCATTTTTTAAATACCTCCAATTTTACAGGAGAGAAATTCAAAAATAGCCACATTTACAATTGATCATTAAAAAATAATCACACTTTCAAAAGTAATCGAAATTTAGCCCTTTTTCAAGTAAAGATAAATCTAACGAAAACACTGTTCAAAATCCGGAAAATATTTTAGTATATTATACTGGAGTTGCAACATAAATATACTGGAATTCCAGCAAAGTATACCGGTCAAGTATAATATACTGGAAGTTCATGCACAGGTGCTCGAATCTCCAGTATATTATGCTGGAACTTTCCGCGTGTTGGAGTTATAGCATAATATGCTGGAAGTTCATACACATGTGCATCGAACTCCAGTATATTATGCTGGACCGGTCTCTGTTGCAGCAAAATAGTGATTATTTTTCATTGACTTGGCAAAAACTTACTATTTTTGAATGATCAGTCCATGCTATTTTTATATTTTAAAGACATTCGGTCCAGTCCCTTACGGGTCGTTCCTGTCAATCATCCCTTAATCCACGATTTTGAAAGTCAGCCCAATCAAATGATGGGCCTAAATGCAGACCAGCCCTCAAAATTAGGTTTATAAACACATGCAGCCACACCTACCAATTTAAACTCCATTCGATTCACCTTCCAATTCATCATCTCCTTTCTCTTTTTTTGCTTTAATAGGTTTTAGGATTAGGAATTTAGGAGTCGAATATCTGAAGTTTTTTCTTCTCCAATTGTCTCTGAAGTTTTGTAATTGCTAATTATTTACTTGGTCCGGTGCCACGTCGGCGGTAGCAAAAAAATAGCAGTGACCGGCGATGCTATGATCGGACCAACATCAAGTTTTTTTGACGCTTCGCATTTTGATAGGAATCTGTGGATGAATATTTGGTTTTTCCACGGAGCCGTTTTGTGCGATTACATTTTTTTTAAAAATTATTGCTTTATTTTTTTAATTTTTTTGAAGAGATAATAATTAATCATAGTGAAGCCAATGAGGATCAAAATTTTGATATTTGGAATTACCGTCTGAACATAATATTGATGTCAGATCTACTATCTGAGGCTTCCTTCTTATTTTTTCATGAATTTAAGTCTAATTTATTGATCAATATAATATTATTTCCCATGAACTGTGCAGAAATATTTCTTAATTTGTAGTATATTTCTAAGACTTATTTTAAAAAAATATTTGTTTTTAAGCAGGTAGTATAGTGAAGTCAATGAGGATGAATTTTTTTGATATCTGGAATTACCGTCTGAATATTACATTGATGTCAGATTGACTATCTGAGACTTCTTTATTTCTTAATTATGAGGATTTAAGTTTAATTGTTTTAAACATCATATAGTATTTTTTACGAATTACTATGTGTTTATGTGGAACTGCCAATGTACGCATATATTAATTATTAATATAACCATGATGCCACCTTATTCTGCCGATTCATTAACTATTTTTGGGATAGAAAATAATCTTAAATTTTTTACTAAAAAGCTGTTCGTTAAAATTAAATATTTTTTCTATTTTTGTTTCGTACCGACAAGCAAAGAGAATTTAGTTTGAATGAGGACATCATTAAGATTTTTAAAGTTTTACTTAGAAGTATTTGCTAATCCTAGAATTTTAATAATCGATTATTGTCGAAATTGTTTGAATGTGGACAATTTGTGCTGAAAATTTTAGTTCAAACTCTAATTTAGTGATTTGGTCCTTAGAAAACTTTGAAAAGACAAAGTGGATCTTCTTGGCGTTGTTTGACTAACTTTGGTGATTGGGGATGGTTTGTGTTGGTATTTGAAGGTGTATTTTCAAATTTGTTATCATGTAGAGCAGATTTAGACAAGAGGGCTTACGCGATGGTAAGCAACCTCCACTCCTGATTAAGAAATTATACTGTGTTGTTGTTGTTGTTGTTGTATAGAGCAGGTGGTCAATTGCAATTTCGGAAAATACTTTGTTAGACAACTTGAGAAAATTGTACTAATCTGATTTATAATTTAACAGGCAGGTTAATTGCATAAAACATCAAGTCATATCCCACAAAATCATGCAAACTAGGTAAAGTTTGTGAATAATCAAACAAATAAGTCAAATGCAATTAACACAAAAACATGTCATTGGATAGAGTTTGTAAACAATTATTCCCTCCGGTCCAAAATAAGTGATTTTTTGGTTGTTTTCATACATATTAAAAAACTCACTTTTAACATTAATTAGCAATGAAATTGATCATATTAATCTCTATTATCTCTTCACATAAATATTTCTAACACATAACACTATTTACTCCAAGGTCAATGTAGGAAAAAAATAATTAATTCATTTTTAAAATCTAAAAAAATTACTTATTTTGGACCACAAAGAATAGCCAAAAAATTATTTATTATGGATCGGAGGAAATATCAATATATGTAGAGTAAATATAACATAAAATTTATCAATCCTATAAAGAAATCCATGAAAAGCAATAAGTAATTAAGTATGTGTGAGTTTGGTGTCATTTTTTAAAATTTTCCAAAAATGGGACAATATTTAAAGACCAACCCTTATAGGGCCTTGCAAATGCAGTGTATAATTGCACAATCGAATTGCAAGAACCCTTTAGTTCACTAGCAAGCATATATCTACATTTTAATATTTTTCAAGTTTTATTTTTAAAATCAAGTAATTTATTAACCTTAGCATTAAAAAATTAAGCAATTAAAGGTTTTATTGGCCTATGCCTTGAGCCTGCCCTAATGCCACGTGAATCAAACTTGCACATTCCCTCCTTTCCATTTTACTATTTTGAAAGTTTCGCCAGAGATATTTCAATTAATTTAAGGTCTTCTTTCATCGCTTTCTGATTTGTCAAGGTGTGACCAATAACCTATTACATATGTGTAAAATTAAATATATCCTCGAGTATCTATATCTCTCATTTTTATCTTATCAGAAAAAAGAAAAAAAGGCAAGACAACTAGCTGAGGGAAAATTGAATTAAAAAGGAAAAAGTTTTCGTGATTTGATCCTTGATAAGACTCGGGAGAGGACAATGGGAGGTGACTGAGATCACTTCCCAGTAGTGATGGTGTTGCACCAGGGATCGGCTCTTAGTCCGTTCTTATTTGCTCTGGCGATGAATGTGCTGACGGGGCACATTCAAGAGTAGGTGCCATGGTGCATGTTATTTGCCGATGACATAATGCTGATTGA